AATCACCGTGATGACGGGTACATATGAATCTCTCTTTGGCTGACTTATATGTCTCAGAAAGACACACTAAGAACGGGAGATGAAGACAGCACCGAATGAGGACAGTAGAGCTTACTGTAGCAACCAAGACAGACCTGCTGTGCAGAGACCACATGTTTTCGGGCAGTCCTCTTCGAGAATACTTCTCCAGGCTGCATTTTCACACATGTCCTGTGTCACCGAAGAGCATGGGATTCGCGGTTCTGGAATGAAACCAGGAATTCAACTAGTGTTGAGGGATGGGGAAGGAATAAAACTGATCATTTTTATGAAGAAGTAGTCTAGAATTACTATGACATACGCCGCTTGTCTTCGCACATGAAAGCAGGTGTAAGACAGCAGTATCCACATGTCTTGGGACAAATATCTATTGCTGCTTGAACTAGTTGAGGATCCTGAAAATGAAAGAGTCTGCCTTGTTTGGCCGATTCCACTTTATTTGGACAAATTGGGAACAGAAGATCGGAAACCTTTGAAGGCGCGGTTCACGACAATTTTGGGTAGTCCAGATTACGAAGAAAAATGGAAGGTGGAAAATAGTGAGATGGAGTCGTGCACGAATCTGCGTTCTCAAGGAGATAAAAGGCTTTGATAGAAAAACGAGAAAAAAGCGGGCTGGATGAGAAGGAGACCAGAAACGAGAAGACGAATGGGGCGTTTGGATGAGCTAAACAATGTGTGTCGTTGCGTGCGCGTGGGTCCCGACGCGAACAGCAGAATACAGTAGGCAAAAAGTCCCAGAAAGTTCCTCATTAGTATAAGTTAACAAAAACGCTGGTAAAAGCAGAAGCAGATCACCTTCTCTATGCTCCTAAGGTAGAAAATGAAAATAAGTACCGCAGCAAAAAGAATAAGAGAGAATGAAAGAAAAGGAGTAAAACAGCACCTTACTACTGGGCTATCTACTGATTCCGTGCTAAAGGTGTGGGTTCTATCGCGAATATTGCCATCTGTATCGCCTCGACACTCGTCCGACATATCATTGGTCGGTTGGGCGTGGCAACCGAGCGATCCGGTAGTGGTACTCCCACTATGCCCTAGCTGTTGAGACCCGACACTGTTCTTCCTGTTACCATTGGAGGCCAATGAGTATACCTTGGGGAGGATTCAGGAACCATTTTTATCGTGAACTGTGCCTTCAATGTTTCCACAGTAGCATCATTTATCCTGCTCGCTCTTCAAATAAAGGGTTTGTCCACACCAATCTCAAGCCCACGTAATTTCACGTGGGAATGAAGTTTAAATAAAACCATGAAGTGAGTAGGAGTCAAAACGCACTGCACCCAAAAAAGAGAAGAATTCACGGGAAATATTTACAGCCATCGTTCATGTCGAACAGAGATATGATGCGAATATACACTTTCTCGTTCTCTTTGCCGCCAAGGCACCATTCTCTACCAATACTAACGCTTTTCGAATTAAATAGGGTACCCCGAACTGTGTCTTCAAAGGAAACCCTTCTTATAAGTTGTAATTTTCGTAAAATATGAAAGATGGATCTAAATAAAAGGACTCGCTTAACGCGTTNAAGGCACCATTCTCTACCAATACTAACGCTTTTCGAATTAAATAGGGTGCCCCGAACTGTGTCCTCAAAAGAAACCCTTCTTAAAAGTTGTAATTTTCGTAAAATATGAAAGATGGATCTAAATAAAAGGACTCGCTTAACGCGTTGTCTGATCACGTACTACAGGAGTTCCTGCACATTTTGCATTCCGTTCGGTATCGGTATCAGCTTTCACTGCATCCGTGTAGATGACGAGGCAAGCGGCATCGGAAATTCTGTTATTGCAATTCACAGCCGATTGAGCATACTGAAAAGATACTCGATTAAAACGCATCAACGGAACAGAGCGGATGTTTAACTTGTAGCGAAAAACTAGAGGATAGCCTCCTGGTTGAAGGCAACAGCTATGTTGCTGATCACAAACCAGGTGGGTAGGCCAGCTAACCCCGAGTTCTACTCGTTCTTTTTTTTATGTTTAACTAGCCTACCGCCTGCATCTCTTCCGAATTTGGATGCTCTGGTACAGGAGATTAGAAGTTGTGAGCTCCCGGAAACTCACCCACCACCAGAGCCATGTCAACAGTAGGTGTGAATTCCTGGAGAAACACACACACAGAGACACACATACACAACCACATACATACACACATACAACACACACATACTGACAGACAGAGGTCTGAAGACAAATTAGACATTACTTTAAGAAAGCACTTCAGTTCGACACTTCTTACCCAATTCCCCTCTAATGTACGTTCGAACCTCCCGAAAAGCATACCTCTTTGGGTGTATATCAAAACATTGGCTCGTGCCCTTGGTTTATCCCTTGTCGGGTACGACCATATTCCTCCGTCAACAACAAATCGTGGTCTCTGTTCTTGACCGTGGTCACAATTTTTTACCACTAAGATTGTCGTAAACATGAATTCAATGAGTACCGCCCACGAAGGTTGAACCTGTCTACCATTCAATGAAATACTCACCTTGGGAGCACCGGCAACCATGTATGTACAGTTTAAATCAGCGATTCCTGCCTCTGAAAGGCCTGCCAGGAAAGATGAAATTATCAGAATAAGAAGCATGACTTAGCTGAAATATTTAGAATTGAGCGTACGGATATGCCAAAAAAGCAGTGAATCCAGGGTGACAAATACGCAAGGACTGGGAGTTTAGTGAGCACTGGCGCTTTTATTTCAGTGAGTTTGAAAAAAAATATGAGGTTAGCGCAACGTGCAACAAATAGCCTCCATTTCCATCTGCCTCTTTTATTCCAATGCTTGAAAAAGCACAAAGCAGAGCAGTTGATGTATTCATTTTTCGCATCATCACAGTATAAAAACGTAGACATCCGATGAAAAAATTCTTTGTGAAAAACGCTTCGCAATAGGGGAAGATGTATAGTTTCTATCTCTGACCTTTTCCGTTTACTTTAGCACCGTGCTCCAGGCAGCGCCACCATTTTCATCCCCAAAAGCTATCCAGAATTCGATCGTGGAAAGGGACAGTTCAAGGATGGGATGAATTGGAAGTGTAGGGTCAAAATCTTGCAAAAAGCGTATTCTTCCAGTTCGACCAACTTCCAATATGTGCTTACATCGTGTGCATTGCCCGTGTTACTTCTGTTGATAGGCAGTACTGTAGAATTACTGTGAAACCTTTCAGTACCTACCTGAAAATTTGTATAGGTCTTTACCGAAGCCAAAAAAATGTACCCTACTTTCTAATTCCACAAAGAGCTCAACTGCTACAGGGGAACTTGGAGAGTATCCAGTGACTACCAACTCTCGTACACCGACTAAGGAAGAGTTTGAAAATCCTTTTCTCATTTATATAGACCCCTTGATCCAAGTATTTTCATGTGTTCCTGAGAATGTTCCCTTCGTGGAAGTGCCTATCAGAAGGAATATGGAGAGCGAACTCAGGAAAGAATTTAGTCCATCATACACAAAAAGGATTTCATACCCCGTGCACAGCAACCCGAAGACAGACTCAAGCGCCTCAAAACACTTGCCACATATACGAACCCACTAAAAGGTACCCTGGGTAGAGCACCCGGTTGCGTGGTGGAGCACTACTGGGGGTACTGTACCACACTTTCACGAGGCGTTGGAATTCCTCTAGCCCGTCAGACAGACTCTTCCCTAACCATGCCCAAGAGCGATATAAGATATTGAGTATATTCAATACCTGCGTGCTTATTCGAGCCATGAACTGCTCCCTCAGATGTACCATATCTGAGAAGGAATCGCTGAGATGATAACGGAATCAGCGTTGGAACTGGCACACCAGGAAAAACGAGAGGGTTGGTATCATGTGAGATGTGTTCGAGCATGAAATAAAAAAAATTTAAAGCGATCTTCCATTAGCTAATGCGATAGGACCTTCAAAAGATAAGGGACTACAGGAAGCCAAGGTTCGCGCCCATTCAATGTTGGATGCAAAACTTCATTCACCTCAGAGCTTTCATATGACAGACTACAACTTGAACTGTGGGATGGATCTACACTACAATGGGAGGAGGGGAGGGGGTGGAGGATTGGATGGGAAGAGGTTCCGGCTTCTGTAGCTAATCCTAAGTAAAAAAGCCTTCTCCCTGAAAACATTTTTAGACGTACTACAGGATCCCCGGCACATTTCTCATCTCTGTCAGTACCATCATCCGCTTTCACTGCTGTCTTGTTGACGAGGTAAACGGCATCAGAAATCTTGCCATTGCAGTTCACAGCCGATTCGGATTACTAAAAAGCCGTTGACTTGCCCATGAGGGAATAGCTGGTTCGTGTTGCAGTGGAAAATCTATAATTCTTCAAAAATTGTTTCTCATGAGGACATTTCTGGAGGGCAACTGTGTAATAATGGCCACAAGACCTTCATGCTGATTGATTCACTTTCAATATCATGAGATATTCTAGAATACAGAATCCTTTTTTGTTATGGATATCCCAAGCAGCAATACGAGTCGATTAGAAGCGTAAAGGTGACGCACTGCAAAGTCATACGTGTCACCGGCTCATACCAACCTGACTTCTCTCTCGCCACTGTCATTACTCGGTCCGTCTAATACCAGATTTTTCTAAGTGAGCAAACTGGTGACGAGCACATGGCTTAGTATGCCATTTCATTTTGAAAGAGCATTTGAAAGCTGCTTTAATATCGAATGGGGATCGATAACGGGGCGGATCCACCGGGAGGGATTTCAGACTTTATCGGTCTACACTTTGGAAAAAATCAAAGAACACGACAAATAATAAGATAAATTCTTTGATTTTACACAGATACACACATGCAGAAACATTGTAAAGCCACATCCATTCATGTGGATGTTCACATTCGAATGTAAAAGTCAGAATGCAGCCTTCTGAATAAGACTTCACTTTCTAGCACAGGCCGCAGGGGCGTCCACAGTACTGCCTTTTTTGCGCATTAGAGTAGAATGTGCTCGTGCAAAATCCGTTTCTGATCCAGCTCTGGCATCTGAAAGAAGAAGAACATGGTCGTCTAAAAAAGTAGTATTCTTGAAAATGAAGCACAGAGAGGTCAGATGCGGTTTAAATGATGAACCACCTCGCAACTGCTCTTAGAGTTTGAAAATCGAATGTAAAGCTTCATTACTCCTTTTTCTGAATATTCAAGAAAAGGATGACGTCAGGGTCCCCCACTGTACTGACCAGCTGTGCAGCACCGTGATCTAATACCCCAGAAGCACCACATCAAAGTCAAACAATATTATACCCAAGTTTCTAGAGGTTCCACGAGAGGAATTCATCTACACCCATCGTTTCTCGGCTTGACATCGAACCATGTCACGGAGCCCTAAGGGAATAAATTTGTGGAAATTTTGCCAAACTTTTGAGAATAACTATCAAAAAATTTTGCCAAATATTCTACGTACGAAGAAGCTATGAGCTTCTTCTTTCAGTAACCTCAAAATGAGAGCTTCAAATGATCTGAAAGGGCGAATAAACCCACTTCAACAAATTCTACCATCCTCTGAATACGAAGAGATCATTCAGCCAGTCTCGGCCGTTAACAATTCATCAAACCCTCGTTGTCAGCCCGGCTGAGCATAGTACATAAAAACCTACCGTTCCCGGACACCAACCCTGCTCCCGTCTTTCATGGGGAGCACTACATTTTTGGACAGATGAACCATATTGCTGAGAGCTGCCCCGTTGTATTGCGCCCTCATTTCAAAGTCTCTAGTTTAGCAATAAACAGCGGCATCAAAACTTTCCCCCCAGAGGTCGTGGGTTAGTAAATGGCTGAAAGGTTACCAGTCTCATGAAAGTGCAACCTGAACTCCTCCTGAGATAACGAATAAAAAATTACTTCGGATCCGATCCACATCCAACACCTGAAAAGAAAGAACTTTTGATCGCTGTTGATCCCTTTTGATATTATAGTATTCAGATGGGCTGCCAGTTATTCACAACGTGAACGAAAAAAAAGCTGGAAAACTACAAAAATTCAGCAGAGCGTCGCTCAGAGGCACATCTACTAAGAGAATGATCTCACAAACTCGATGGAAAGCAAAAAATGCGAAGATGCAAAATGTGAAGTGAAGTGAACATTGCACTGCTCTCAATTTCTAATATCTCACACGCACGGTCAGGAGTTCGAACCCCGGATCGATATCCGCCCTGGTCATCGGACCCTTCCATTCCTCTGTGGTCGGTTAATTGATACCAGACTCTTCTGGGAGGATAAAAGCCCTGACTTGTACATTGGATGGTCACCGCAATTCATTGTATTTTACGCTCGGGTTCCTAACGCCACTACGATTTAGACTAGAAGTGAAATGCGCGGGCGCATCCCGCAGGCGGAATGGATTAAGCCCTGTGACCTCACCCCTTAACCTTTACATAACAACTCACATGTGTCGGAGTGGTGAAAAACCCATTCCCTACATTTTGTTATTAAACCCTACCGGGAGTTTAATAAAAGGGTCGTAGACGTGTGACTCACTTCGCTTTAAACATCGCTCAGGTGAATTCTATAGACGTCAGACTCCATTTTTGAAAACGAAGATGAAGTGAGAGTTTTCCCCCAACTAATGCACTCCATGCTTTACAGCAAACCTTTTCGTTTTTGAGACAAACATTTGAAGTTGTTTTTGGTACATCACTACGAGTTTCGCACTCATTCGCATTCACTGCTTTTGAACATAAAAATTGTCAGAGTGTTTCCAAGGATACTTCTTTCGGTTAACTTGCTGATCATCATATAAACGCTCACCTGGTGCTGATGGTGCTGTTGTTGTATCATTGCAGTACCCGCAGGTCTTCTTACAGTACTTCTTCAAAAATATTCTTCATAAAAGTTATGAGTTGAGAGCTTTAATAGTCGTCTGGTATAATTATATTGACTAAATATGCCCACCTTCACAAAGGATTCCAGGTTT